TGTGGGAGACTACTTAATGGAGACTTGGGAGGTGTCACACAAGGATCCCCAAATTGGAGAAGCTAGTGAATAAGGGTTAGACAGAAGGGCACTGGTAAAACCGCTTAGGAGAGGATAACACAAATGTAATGAATGTGGGAAGAGCTTTTTCAGAGCTCAGGTCTCATTCAATGTCAAAGAATTCACACTGGAGAAAGACCCTATGAATGTAATGAGTGTGGGGAAACCTTCCGTTGGACTTCTGGTCCTTTTAATCACTGAGGAGTCCACAACATACAGAGGCAGTACCACTGTGAGGAGTATGGGAAGGCCTTCAGTCAGAGTGCAGGTCTCATCCAGCACCAGAGAATCAACAGAGGAGAGAAGCCCCGTAAGCCCAGACAGTGCTGGAAGAGCTACAGTCAGAACTCCTCTCGCATAGAGCACCGGAGAAGCCACACAGGGAGCAGCCTCACCAGTGCAATGAAGGAAGGGCAGGGGAGCTTTCAACACCGTAAACTCATCCTCCATCAGAAGAATCACAGCGTGTCTGAGTCTGTCTAATCCTTGCTATGTGCAAGTTTTCCGGATCACTGGCCAACTCCTGTGAAGCAGGTGAAGACCAGGAAACGTTTTTCTTCAACTACATGTGTTTTGAAACAAAGACTGACCTGTGGTGTAGGCACATCCTAAGAGGTTTTTGAAGCTGCTGCTTTCCCTTTGGTTTCTTTACCCCTTCCTGATTACTAGCCCATCCCTCTTATTTCCTCTCTCAGAGATGGCTCTAAACCTTCCCAACAATGTAATCAATCATGCCTCTATAGCCAACAAGACTAACACTCTGTATCTGTGATAAATTCCTAAAGATCCTAAAGAGCTCTGCAGATGTTTTACAATCAGTGGGTCTTTGGTGTTCTCTGTGACCCGCACTGGCACACCTTTTCCACTTCACTGCTTCCCTCTGGCACCTACATGACACTCCTTTTGGGATGCTGCGTTTGAATGCTAGATGTGTAAATTTTGTCAAGTTGTTCACCTTTGTATGCTCCAGTTTTTATCATTTTAAAGGATGGATTATAATATAACTACCTCATAAGGTTTTTGAGAGGAATTAAAACTTTAATCCAGCCCTGGGTGGTAGACTGAGTGCCAGCCTGCAAACCAGGTCACCGATTCAATTCCCAGTCAGGGCACATGCCTGGGTTGCAGGCCAGGTGCCCAGTGGGGGGCCTGTGAGAGACAACCACACACTGATGTTTCTCTCCCTTTCTCCCTCCCTTCCCCTCTCTCTAAAAATAAATACATAAAATCTTTAAAAAATGTAATCCAGATAAAGTTTGGTACCTGACAGACTAGGCACTCAGTAAATATTCATTATTTGTATTAAAACTGTTGACCTTGAGAAGGAATATACCTGCCAAGAAGGACTCCTAGCAGTTAACTGGGCCCAAATTCATAATCAGAGTCTAGCAGCCATTGCTGATAGAGGCCTTGTGTATACACTACATTTCAGGGGAAAGCCACAGACTAAGTTGCCAGCCTCCTGCACTGGGTTCCTACCAACTGAGCTGAACCTTTTAAAGGAATCCCTGGAGGAGTATTTGAATAAATGGGCTGAGACCTGCCCCATCCAATCAGAGCTGCACAGCTATATCCCCTATTTGCATCTTTATTGACCAATCACTGGTTCCATAACAACCAACCTATCAGGACAGTGCTATTTGGACCAATTAAACTGCAAATTTGGACTTCTCATTTGCATAAAAATGGACCAATCAGTGACCAGCATGGGTACTTTATGTAAGTGGGTCTCCCTGCCCTGACCAGTGTGACTTTGTTGGTTGGGCAGACAAGGCATGTACAAAGAGGCAACCAATTGTTTCTCTCTCACACATTGATGTTTCTCTCCCTCCCTTCCCTTCTCTTTAAAAATAAATAAACAAAATCTTTAAAAAATAAAAATAAATAAGCAGGCCTCCTCTTTGTCTCAGTGGAGACAGTTTCTCTTTCAGTTTCTCTGGTTTACAAACTGTTCACCTGCATAAAGTCTCTCCTTTTTTTGAAAAACAACAAAAAAAATGTGGCATATCCATAAAATGGAATATTATTCAGCCACAAAAAGAAATGAAGTACAGATATATGCTATAACATGAGCCTTGCAAACATTCTTAGTGAAAACAGTTAGACACAAAAGGCCATATGTTGTATGATTAATTTATATGAAATCTTCAGAATAGGAAATCCAGAAAGAGAAAACCAGGTTAGTGATTGCCTGAGGCTGAAGGGAGGAGAGTGGAGAATGGCTACTAATGGGTACAGGGCATCTTTTGGGGTAATGAAAATGTTCTAAAATTCATTAGTGATATTCACAGAACTCTGTGAATATATTAAACAATAATTACAATTAAACTTAAAAATTAGAGACTTAACAGACTTAAAAGAAACCAATTTACATTGTTTAAACCTTTAGATCCTGAGTTTTTAAAAAATTATATAATAAGACTATAAAGCAATCATGGAAATTTGAACATTGATTAATATCTGATGGTATTGATGAATTATTGCTAATCTTTTAGATATAGAAATGGAATTGTGTTTTTAAAAAGGAGTACCTGTATTTTAGAGATACATATGAAAATATTTACTGATGAAATGATACAATGTCTTAGATTTCCTTCAAAATAAACTGGGAAGAGAGAGAGAAAGTAAACAGGTTTATAGGTGAAGTCATCATAAGTTAACAATTGTTCATTAGACCATTCTCTCCACTTCCCTGATGTTTGAAAATTTCTATTAATAAAAAGGACAAAAAGAAAATAGTTCCATGCCATACTATTTTATTGTGTGCCAATTATCAATCCCACAGGTGGGAAACCCCCATTTCAATTGTATTCTCCATAAATGATTGATGGACACCTGTATGTGTACTGTTTACAATTTGAGGAAATAAAGAGTTTTACTTTTTAAAAAATGAAATGACTGAAAATAACCTGGACTTCCCCTTCCACCCTCAGCAAACACTTTTTCTGTCTCAATTACAATCTTTCCAAAAAAAGGTTCTTATTCTTAATGTTTTTTTCCTTTACAAAAACCATTTGTTGGTTTCCTTTTGTAATTTGTTTGGCTTTAGATCAAATTATTTTTAAATAAATTTTAAAACTATTATCTTTGATATTAAGTTGCTCCTTGAAAGATACATTGATGATTTCCCCCAGCGTGTCAATTTCACTTATTCCTATGATGAGGACAGAACTGTAAGCCTGAGGCAGAGCCTCCTTGGTCACATTACAAGGAAGAGACTTTCAGGGAGTACTTAGCCCCAGCCCTTGTCCCAGAGCTGGACCACAAAACAACCCCACCTGAACCCCATATCTTTGTGAAAACAACAATAACAGCTCTAAGTTCCTGACTACATAACATGTGAGAGGCACAATACTAATCACTTCACCTAAGAAATGTTATTTGGTCATTGCAACAAGCCTAGGAGACAGGTACTATTATTTATCCCCATTTAGCTAGGACTTCCAGAATGAAAAAGTAACTTGCTCTCAATCATACAGCTTTATGCAGCAGGGCCAGGATTTGAACCCAGGCTGTCTAGCTCCAAGACCTGCATTTATACCTTATATTACTATATTACCTCCTAGGTAGAAACCAGCTCATCACATCTTTGTTGTAGTATCACTAATGGTCAAGGACCAGAAACTTTAATTGGTCCAAAAATCATTCGCTCTGGACACAGAAGATGGACTATCTCCCAGGAAACCTGCCCCTCCATCCCTAGCTCCCTCATTAGAACCATCAATTTCACAAATCTTGCTCTTAAAGAGCAAAAACAAAAGCACAGAATTTGAAAAAAAAAATCCACACAGATCATTTAAAAGTTACAAAATGAAGAGATGTATTGCCTTCATCTTGCCCCCTCCGAACCTCCAGAAATACCTGGGTAAAAGGGTCTCCCTGAGTTTTCAGTGAAGAGAAAACACTGCAGGTGACCAGTATGAGCGTAAGCAGTTCCTCCTAAATCAATGCAGATCTCTGTCAGGATGAGGGGAGAGGCTTCCCTGAGTCACTCCCATCTCCACATGCAACACCCAGGAATGACTTAGCACCAAAACAACAGAGGAAAAGACTGAGAATTCCCATCCAAGTCTAGGAGCTAAACTGCAGAAACACTGAGGTCGGCTGTCCACACCTACCTTCCTCCCCCTCAGAGCTCCCCACCAAAACCAGTCCCCTCCCTTTGTGGGAGGGATTGGGGTGGACTGGGCAGGGCAAGTGATGGTCCCCAGATGGGCTAAACATTGCACAAGGGAAGCCAGGCAGGACCCCACAAGGGAGATCTCAAATGATCAAAGAAAAGAAAATGAAGGGGCTGGAGTATGAGGGAAAACCAAAATGTAAGAACTAAGGACCAAAGTGAGGAACAAAGTAACTGGAAACAACTGGTGACTGGAACAGCAAAGCACTAGGGACAGGAGACTAGAGGGACAGGAAAAACAAAGAGGTTGAAGAATTCATAGTCCTCTGGGGACCATGAGCTAAGGGGACACAAGGTTCAGGTCAGCAAACTAGGCGTGTCCGGAGAAGACACTGTGTGGAAACTGAAGTGACTGGAGACAAGGGGCCTGGGTGGTGGGGATGACTGGGGAGCAGGGAGACTCTTAATTGGAAGTGGGACTCAAGGAGTCTAAGAGTTAGCTGGAACTGAGACATGCGAGGTCTGAGCACGGGGGTGGTCACTGGGCAAGGGGGGTCGGAGGACTGGGAGGGACTGGAGGATTGGGGTACAGGTGTCGAAGAGCTGGTTTTAAGTGATGGGCAGGAGTCAGCGGACTAGGAGGGACTTGGGACTCCAGGAAACTGCAGGTGACCAGAAGCCAGGAACTGGGGTCAGGAAACTGGGAGCAAAGGGACGGTGGTCTGGGCACGGGACGCCGGGGCTCGGGCCGGAGTGTGCAGATGAAACGGCAGGAGCCGGGGCGGCCGGGACGGGTGACAGCGGCGAGGCCGCCACTCACCGCTCATGGTGCCGCTCCCCAGGCAGATCCCTGCGCCGTACCGCCGCCACTACCTCCACTGCCGCCACTGACGCCGCTGTGCTCTAGACAGGCCGGGCGACAGCGCGCCCCGCCCCGCCCGGCCGTCCGCCCCGCCCCGGAAGCGGAGCGGCAGTGCTACGGCACCGCCTCCCGACCCGGAACGTAAACTCGAGGGCCACCAGGGGCGCGGGAGCTTACACTCAGCGCTGGGCGTTGGCGGCTGGGGCCTTTGGGCAAACTGCGTGCCCTCGGGGGACACACGGTCGTCAGCGAGTACTGGGGTTTGCTATGGGGACGCCTCCTCGTCCTCCTGGGCGTACACCTCTGCCGGAAAGCCAGATAGGGAACAAGGAAGGCTCCTAGATGAGAGGTCCCAGGCAACGCTAGGAGCTGAGAAAGGAAATTTTAAGAGTAACGGGCCAAAGCATGGGGGCGGAAGAGATGGACAGTCCTAAAGGGCCTCTCTAAAGAGACGACTTTAGAGCTGAGACCTGGATGATAAGGAGACAATCCGGGAAGATCCTCAGAAAAGGTGTTACAAAAGCCGCAAGTGTAAAGGCCCTGCCTGGAGAGGTTGACTGGAGCGAGAGGGTGAGTGAGAAAAGGACAGTAGTAGAGAGGGAAGACTGAAGAGGTGGGTGGAAGGCCTAAGCCGTGGTAAAGGGTGTGTACTTCTCCGCCTAACTCTTAAGTAGGTAAGGGAATGGGAGCCACTGCAAGAATTTAAGCAGAGGAGTGATAGGGTCTGAATTAGGTTTTTAAACGATTACTCTTGGGAGTTGGTTGACAGTGAATTGTAGCCGGACAAGGTGGAGAAGGGGCAGTTGGTCAGGGGCCGTTGGTATTATCTAGCGAGAGAAAGTGCCTGGGGCTAGGGTGGTGGCAGTGGTGGTGAAGGTGGGTGGATCCACTATGAATTGATTTTGACAACAATCGTATTAATCCAGTTTCCTTCCTTATTTTAGAGTTGGGGGTTAGGGGACCCAGAAGAATTAAAGGAGCATTTGCTCAGAGTATTTGCCAGCAACACAGAGTAGAAAAGTACATTTTATCATCACAACCCATATTTATATTTAAGTAGTAATAATTGTTTAACACAACAGCTCTGTAGGTAATGCATTCTCTTCCACTTTACTTTTTTAAAAAACGCTGACTGAGATGATTGATCCACAAATGTGCCTTGATAAGCAGTTGAAAACACTGAACTCTGGACCAAGCCCCACTGAGGAAAGAGCCAGAATTCCAGCCCAGTTCTGTTGTGACCCACAGTCCCATGGTCTTTCTACTACATTGCGTCTCAACACGTAATCTCTGGCTCCTGGAAATTTATCTTTTGGACTCAGCAGAAGTCAAGAGCTCTTTGGAGAACATGCTCTGCAGCATTGTTTATAAAAGTGAAAAATTGGAAAGCATCGAAGCCCAACTACAGTAGAACAGCTAAACAAATAGTGGCCCTCCTCACAAGGAATGTCTGCAGTAGCTGAGAATGCTAATTATAAAGATTATGGGAGAGTGGAAAAGGCCACGGATAAAACATTAAGTTAAAAAAGCCCTTGCCCTGGCTGGCGTAGCTCAGTGGATTGAGCGCGGGCTGCGAACCAAAGCATCGCAAGTTCGATTCCCAGTCAGGGCACATGCCTGGTTTGCAGGCCACGGCCCCCAGCAACCGCACATTGATGTTTCTCTCTCTCTTTCTCCCTCCCTTCCCTCTCTAAAAATAAATAAATAAAATCTAAAAGCCCCATGCAGCCCTAGCCAGCATGGCTCACTTAGTTGGGTGTTGTCTGCAAAGTGAAACATCACTGGTTCATTTCCCGGTGAGGGCACATGCCTAGGTTGCAGGTTCAGTCCCCCATCAGGGTACATACGACAGGCAACTTATTGATATTTCCCTCTCTTCCTCCCTCCCCATCTCTAAAAAATAAATAAATAATTATTTTACACAAAGCCCCATGCAAAAAAGTCTGTAAACCATGAGTACAATGGTGTCAAAACACAGCCATGTGTAAGGGAATGTAAAAATGAAAATATTTGTCAGATGGGTGCTAGACTTATCGAGGTAATCACTTTGTCAGTTATCTGAATGTCTAATCACCACATTGTATACCTGCAACTAATAGGATGTGTCAACTGTAGACATTTTTTACTTTTTTCCATTTTTAATGAAAATACTTGTATGTTTGGTTAATAGGGTTGTTTTTCCCATTTTCAAAATTATACTTGACAATTGTTAATTTGTTATTCTAGTTAAAGAGTGGGTGTGCCTGAATCCACCCCTAGAAAGCCCAATGTAGGTCAGCCTGCCTCTGTAAGCTTTGGTAAGACATCACATACGTGCTTCATGGAGCTGTCTGGAGGATGACTATGCTATACTGTCTCATAGCACCCTGTACCTTTTCTTCATTTCACTTGATGCAGGACAAATTATTGAAATTGTAGTTTGTGTTTTTTGTTTTCTACCACCAACCATCCCCTTCAAGTGTTGTAATTACTTCTCTCCAAGATGTTAGCCTGGTCATGGAAGTCAAGAATCAAAAGCCTAATGTAAACTTTGGAAACATCCAAATTTATGGGAGAGGTTGTACTGGGCGTGTGGGGACAAGGAGCAGCTAGGAACAATATAACAGAAAAGAAATGTGTGTGCCTGCCTTTAGGGAGACCTGACCTCAAAGGGACTAATAAAAACCATCATAGCAAAGTAACTAACCAAATTACTTATTATTAACCAGGCAGTTTTATGGAAAAAAATATACATGTGCATGAGTAACATAAAATGGTTAAGTACCTTTCTTATAGTCACCAAAGTTCTATAACTTGCTAGTAACAGCCAGGATTGAACCCCAGGCAGTCTGGGCTCCAGAGCCAATGCTTTAACGACTATATTGTTTGTTCTCCTGTGATCCTCAAGGGCCTCAAATGGAACCATGATGGGCGCCAAATGGTTAAAAATAAATTCCACCACGTTTCCACATATTCCAAACCTGACACAAAAGCCACAAAGCCCCCAGACCTTGAGGGTCTATGCTGTGGTATCAGTGGGCCCCTTAACAATGATCAAAATCAATGGGTTACCACAGGGTACCCCCTGTTGCACAGCCTTTTCATAAGGAGCTTTGTCTAACCCCAGGAAAGGAGCCCTCCCCCTACAGTGACAAGATAGTAGCCCAAAGAGATGGAGAACTCAGAAATGGAACTAAGTTGACGTGAAGAGAAAAAAGAAATAGATCAAGATGTCTGGTTTAAATCATGGCTTTGCCATTCACTGGCTCTGTTACCTTGCTCTGACTTAGTTCCTGTCATAATCTATAAAATGGAGATGACAATGGTCCACCTACCTTGTAATTTGTTTTGTGCATTAAACAAGTTAGTATAGGTAAAGCACTTAGAGCAATCCCTGCACATTAGTAACTATGTAAGCAATAACTATTATTATCACCTGTATTTGGGCCTGAAAATGATACCAAGTAACTTTTTATCACAGTTTGTAATTCTACATATATCTATATTACAATAATGCCTGAGGCCTCCATTAAGCTGGAAACTCACAAGATCAGGAACTACCCATGCATTGCACACTGAATTAGCCTGGCTGACTCTGGGGTTCTCCTATCTACAGAAGTGCATAGAATAACCTTGCTTGCCTTTAACAATAAAGAGAAAAATTCAGTTGTTCTGAAGTGCATATGTGCATGTATAGGAGGAAAGTGGTCCAGCCATAGAAGTGTGTGACTCTGGGACCTATGCATCACAGTATTTTTCTTCAGTGAGTCAAGAATTTAATCATTGAAACCAATGAAGTGTCTCCAGTTAAGCTCCCAACAGTAAGATAGAAAAATATATCTAACATAAAGATTTTCTGGGATTAGAGGGCAAAAAGCTGTATCAGTAACTGATAACAATCATCCTTTCCTTCTGACAAAAGATTTTGAAAGTAGCGCTGCACCACTCAGGATGGTTAATTATCTAGTAGAAATCAATTTCTCCATCCTTGTGATACACCCAGCAGCTTGCAGGCCATTGCAATAGTCATTTGTTTTTGTGGTGACAAGGACGGTTGCACCTTCCTCCATAGCTGGGAGTGGAAAGAAGTGGTCGGAATCTATGTTTGGTTGGCTCTTGGCACAGTCTTCACAGGTACATTCTTCTACTGTGTACTCCAGGCTTCTGGGAAGAATCTCCTCATCAGTCCTGCTGTCTTTTCTGCCATCCATGTCAGCATTAGCCTCCTTCTGCAGAGCAGATCCTAATTATGCAGAAACAGAAAAGTTACCCTAAACTTCCCCGGGGGTACAGTGATGACAGTCTCAGCAGTACACCTCAGGCTCAAAGCAGTATGAGACAGATCTTTTCATAAAAACAAATTAGTGTGGTCCTACACTAGAGGTTATAAACAACCCACAGGACACAATAGGCTGAGAGACATACCTTACGGCATAGAGTGTTTTTACTGTTTACTTATGCTGGCCCACACTTTAAAATTGAGTGATTTTACATAGAAATCTAGACAACTGGCCTCGGCCTTATTTTACAAGATGACAAATTGCCACTATCCTGTTATAGCACACCAAGATTAGCCTATAGGTGATACTTCAAAATTAAAAGTAAAGAGGCTTCTCTTTTCAGGTTACATGTCAGATTAAAATTTTTGTAATGAATCCCTGTGATCACATAAGGAAGGAGTCTCCATTATGCCCTGTGAAGACAAGTCTTACTACTTCAACCTTCCACAGCACAACTGCATCTTCCAATGAACCACACTCAAAGTCATTCCCCACCTGTTTCTCAGAGCCCAGGCAAAACAAAAATAAAAAGGAAGGAATTATGAAGAGCCACCATTTACCTTTCCTTACTGTACAAGGAAGCAAATAAGGTGGGTTCTTTACAGATTGTGCACAAAAAAAGTGCACAAAAAATAGGGCAGTGGCTGCAGAGGCTTGGGAATCAGATCATGGGCAAAGGTGCTGCAGAAATAGTTTTATCTTAAGAAGCCCTTCAGACCTTGAGGGCTTTAAGGAACAATCACTCCTCTAGGAAAATTCAATCCTCTGGGACTGGTTCTCTACTCCTTATAAAGATAATAATCTTTGAGATGAT